AAATGTTGAACGTTGACCTGTAAATTTGAAAACGCGTAGATAGGTTACAGCACATTAAATATTTCTGCCGATCGCCGGTTTCTAACACGAAAATTCTTGCTTGCTACTCAAAAATGACTTTTATCACGCATATTTTTTCTTTACTAACTAATTTTTCTATTATCACGCACACCTCTGAGATTGTCCTTGTAAATGATTCCATTGTCTGCGATTATCTTGAAATCCGGCATTTTCTTCCTATTTCTTTTTTTATTTTGTTACACTTTTAAATTCATAATCAAGATTAACAGTTGAAAAGACGGATTATATTGAATGAACTTTGCGAACACAATTTTCACAGAATTGTCAATGAATTTGCTCAAACCTTCGATCCAACTTTATTTCTACCCTACTATCCCATAAAATAGTCACTTCAGTGCAGTATAATCTACCTCTACCAGGCTATACTGCCTAATTTTACACTATTCTTTAATTATGGCATTGCCCATTCATATTGTCTTATCAGGTTTTTGGCAAGCTAATTGAGCAAACATTATTGCTGGCTTTTTGGGTTTTTCCCAGACCCTATTTAACCTTCATTTATTTTGGCCTTTTGCATACAGGGTCTTGTTGAGAAATCGAAAGCTCTCTCTCTGGGTAGCGAGTTCAATGTAGACGAGACCATCTGGGATCAGTGCTGCGAATTGATGCCTGCTACGGGGCTGCTCGTGATGAAGGCAAAGGAACTTCAAGACGAACTAATCTCCACTGGCAAGGTTCGTGCGAATGTCCACTTTTCCGTGGATTCTTCCGATGAAAGTTTACTTTTGATATTCAATACTTGCTTGACCGCAGACACTGAAGCTTTTTACACCTTTTTGGCTGCACAATTTTCAGTCCAACTCATTTTTCGAGGAGCTTGCACTTACTATAATTAACTTGTGGCCAGGCTCTGTCTTAATTACACCTCGTCTATCCATCTTTGTCTCTATATTGCTTCACTTCTTCAGGTTGCATTCCAACAAATTGCCTAAAATGCGCTTGTTAACTGAGATTGAGAACATTTTTCTTATAAGTCCGTTATGCCAAGTATCCTTGGTTCCATTTATTTTAAGTGATATGCGGTCGAGTGACTAAATGGTTTGCATCTGTTTTGTCTCTCCTGAAGCCTATATCTCTTTTATGACTTAGAATAAACAATTCCACTGCTTTCAAACAACTGGCATAATATATCTCTTCACTGTCTTCACCGTTTCTAAGACTGAGCCCATTGTGATGTGGCTAAGCACTTCTCTACTTGTGTAGTTGTTGATACTTGGCATGCCTCCTGAGTTGGAGCAAAGCCTATAAAAAATTAGTCTGATTCAGTTTGCTCACATGACAGCAGTTTGTCCTAGATTAAGCTCATTCAAAATTCAAGCGGATCATTATCACTATGAAGTCACGAATAAATGAGAAAATACCTTCATATTCCTGAACATCGATTTGATAGGGAATATAAATAGATAAGCATGGAGTGGTAATTAGCTCCCATGAATAGAAATACGAATCAGTCTAAAAGTATAAATGAAAATATTTTGTGCTTCGATGAA